AATTATCCATATAATCGATTACGAGCTAGATTTGATGCTTCTTTATCAGAAAAAGGTTTTGATCTTCTTAATAAGTAAGAATCTTTAAATTTTTTTTGTCTTTATTAATAATTATTTTTTTTTGATATAGATTTTTAACATATGATCCAAGTAAACGAATATCAGCAATAAATGCATTAAAACATGGATATTTTGAAGAAAGTCCTCGTCGAATAGATCCATCAATGTTTCCAACATGGCCATCAAGAAATGAAGAAAAAGAAAAAGCTATACGAGGAGGTATTCAACGTTTACCTGGATCAAGTATAACTACAGTACAAGATGAACCAAAACCACCATCAGGTGGAAAAATGTATGAAAAATTATTAGGTGGTGGTGATGATGATTCTTATTCTATCGATCAATTATTACCTCCAGCTCCTGGATTTCAACTTCGAGGTTAAACATTTATTATTAAATTCATCTCTATGTGTAATATAGATATACATATATGTATGTGTGTGTGGTTTTTTTTTGTACGATTATAATACCCGGTTAATCGAGATGGAAAGAAAAAAAAAATACAGATATTATGATCTAAAATTAAGTTCATGATCAATTTTTCTGCATTAGAAATACATTTTTGAAATATTAATTTGTTCATCGTTTAAAATGTTCTCTTTAATTTCTATAAAATTCGATATAGAATAATTCAATAATATTATTTTTATTCTATTAGAGATATTTTGAAAGTATTTTATAGATTTATATTTCTTATCATAAGATCGAAAAGTATCTAAATATTTTTTCAATTCAATTATTGTGTTGTTCGTTATTTAAATGATATGTATATATTATTTTGATTATCATTCTCTTTATATTGTTTAAACGAACGATTAAAATAAAGATAAATAATTGAGTAAAAATAACAAAAAAGTAAATTATTCCATAATTCATTGTTTGAGTAATTTTCAATTTCTTAAATCATTGAAACGATAAAATAACAGCAAAATTTTATTCATACAATGCTGACAGATATTGAAAAAAAAAGATCGATAAAATTATTCATAGTATAATCAAATACTGAAAGTTATTCAGTAGAATATTAAAATGTAAGCTTCTCATCCCATTTGACAAAATGTCTTTTTTTTTGAAGCTTATAATGTGGTATAAGGCGAAGCTCCTCGCTTACAACTAGTTATCAAGATTTCGAATCAGGTCAGCTGCCTAATTTGCTGTCTCAAATAGTCAAAAGTTAGATGGTATCAAACTAGGAGAATAAGATGAAAAAGGCGTCCTCATCACACATTCGTTCCGAAAGATCATTTTAATATTTTCCGTTTTGTAAGGTTATGTACAGCTTTATGACGTTCAGATCACAATTGAATCTTTCTTTTCTGATATTATTAAACAAAACATTTCAGGAAAGTCTTTATAGTAAGCAACAAGTAATTGTGTTTCTCGATGTCATCATACAGGGTGTTTCATAAGTTTTGAGGCTTAATAAAAATTAATACATATGCAAACAAAAAGTGATCTCGGACAAAAGGTATTTATATAAAGTTTGAGTACTCGTGACGGTCTTTCAAATGATGTATGATTAGATGAGATTTCATTTTGTAATAATAAAGATATACACATAAGAATGTTGAGATAAATTTTTTCAAATCGACCAACAAGATATTTTATTAAAAAAGAAAAACACTTTTCTTATTAAAAAAAAAACACACTAATTTAATAGATAAAATGTAGTTTAACTATCAT